CCTTTCTTCACCGCTTTGTCTACCCCATCACCGCCGCAGCTGGTTTCGTCTCCACCTGAATCGAAAAGATGCTACTGAAGCTCGAAGGAGAAAAACAAAACCAAAAAATATCATGCATGCTTGGATCCGAACCATACGAACATTCATCGTCGAAGTCGTCACCATCGCTGTCATCAATCTCTTGTCATCGTCCGTCGATTTCCTTTCGCCGTTGCCGCCTGCCGTCGTCACCTATGCGTTGTGCTCTACTTCGAGCTATGCTTTGTGCTCGTCGTAACTGCCTCGTTTGGTGGTTGGAGCTTGAACGGAGAGGGAGAGGGAGAGGGAGAGGGAGATGGAGTCAGGCGAGAGGGGGTCAGGGAGAAAGATCATCTGCGTGGATGCGAAATGAGAGGATAGGTTAGGGGTAAAAAAATGTTTGGCCATTTTTCAAGTATGTGCCAAAACGCAAGAGGCAAAAGGCCAAAATGCACCAGCATAACATTTTCGGTTTTGGGGAAAAAACCGAACCGAACCGAGTTATAATTCGGTTTGATATCGGTTTGGCATGTGACTGGAATCGGAACACCGGTAGTAGTCTGTTCGGTTTGGTTCAAACCGAACCACCCGAAGGCCCACCCCTACCCCGAAGCGATCCAGTCCAAGCACAACTTCTGACACCACAATAATTCTTCCTACATCTATATATCTTCCAGTTCATCCTGCGCTTGTTTAAGACTCAAGTCATCAGAATCCCCGCTCACCCTCTTCTCAATATTTTCAATCCTTGCCAGTAGAGAGCTTTTCTTGCATAGAATATGGCCAAAAACATCCACATTCCATCTCCTGGCTTCATTAGCAAACTCCACAATAGATGTTAAAAGATCACTCCCTCGCCCCCAAGAGCGATTAATCATATTATCAAAGTCTTCGTGTAGAAGCCATGCAGCTATGAACTTGAACGGTTTCAGTCCTACCGCCTGGAAAGAAGGACACAAATTAATTATAAGGGGTCGGTGGTCACTCCTTATGCGGGAAAGGTGGGAGACCGTGGTATCTGGGAAGAAACTCTTCCATGCCGCATCAGTGAGTCCTCTATCCAGCCGTTCCTTCACCCCTGCCCGGAACCAAGTGAAAGGAGGACATGTATAACCCAAGTCCACTAACGCAGCATCCAGCACACAATCCTGGAACTCATGAGCACGACTAGCGTCGAAAAGGGCTCCCCTGGATTTATCCCACGGTTGGAGTATAGAGTTGAAGTCACCTGCTAGGAGCCACGACTCAACCATTTCATCCGATATTTCTCTAATCGACTGCCATGGATCTCGACGTTGAATTAGGGTCGGGGTTAGCGTAAACTACTGTGAGGAAACAACTCCGCAACCCGGCTTGGACTTGTACATGTAGTAACTGGGCCGACCGATCCTTTTCTGTGATTGTAAACAAACCAGAACCCCAAACTAGCCAGATACCTCCCGCAAAACCCACCGCATCAACCACTAGGTACTTGTCGTTGCCCAATTTCTCAACAACTTCAGTTGCTCTATCACCACTTATTCTAGGTTCCACAAGTATTGCAATACTCGGAGAATATCGTCGCTTGTATTCTTTAAAAACTTGCAAGAAGCGTTTGCTTCCTGCCCCTTGCAATTCCATGTTAATATCTTAACCATTAACAAGACTTGAATACGGGCTCCCAAATAAGCACGAGGTAGCCTAAGTTGTGGGGGCCTCGGACACGAGGCTTCCCACTGAGCTCCCCCTTTCAGTCACATTCAGTTGATCCTTATCGGCCATCTTCACTCGCTCAGCCTCCGTTGTACAAAGGGCATCCCCACTTATATCAGGCGGCTTAGACTGAGATCGCATTGTAGGTGATGCATCTACATTTTCATCGGTTTGCATATGCTCATCCACGTGATTTTGGAACCCTGCATGCCATGCATGCGATTAGCAACGTGAACATTAGGTATCGCGGCTGGAGTAGTCTCATCGACTTCCACATGCTGCCTCTCCTTTGCTGAATCGGTGATAGTGGTTTGCTCCTTGATCACAACCTCCCCAGCATCTTTATTCCCTATTGTCCGCGGGGTAGAACTCGAGGGTTGCGTTGATGGTTTCTTCCCCTTGGACATCAGAACTTGGTGTTTCCCACCTTGGGGTAACTCCCTTTCATCCCTTACATTCTTAGTTGATTCCATATTACTTGTTTCCTCATCATTTAACACATCAAAACGTGATCTAGAGTCACTCCCTTTTTGCTATCTCTTGTCCGTAGACCGATTATTGCCCGTTAGGCTGGAGTCCGCAACTTGTTTTTTGGTACGTGGCCTCTTCTTAGCTATCATCCACTCGCCATATACGCTGGTAGGGGCCTCAGTGATCGTGGCTGGCGAGTTATTCACAGTTTTCTCAGTTTGCATTGTCTTCGCCGGTATGGAACATACACAACGAGCTCGCTCAAAATATGTGTCACAATTCAGGCAGATCTTCTCCAAACCCTCATACTGAATGAAGTACTTTTTTCCTCGGATTGTGAATTGTGAAAGTAGAGGTTTGGTGATATCCACTTGGACACAGACGCGCGCATAGTCGCTACGTGCTCCCGTATTTGTCGCATGATCAACTCGGATAGGCTTCATGATGCGCTGTCCGATTTTCATTACTGCCACAGGATGAAAGTATTGAATTGGCATCTCCAGTAATCTTGCCAAACTAAGGTTCATGAGATCTCGTGGTTGTAGGGGTCAAAATCCTCCGACCAGGGGTGACCGTGAGGTAGTTAATAGTTATCCCCTACTAACCATGCCCCCCGCCCCCGTGACTGCTCGATTGTAGTCCACTCCACTTGTGAATCGCACTAGAAAATAACCATTCTTGACGAGCGTTACTTGAATGGTTCTTACCTTGGCTCAAATCGTCTGCAGGCGTTTGAGCATAAGCGTATATGAAACTGATCTTCCCAGAGCTTTCACCACCAACGTGGAACGCCAGCCACGACAAAAAAGCCTTTCTTCTGCAACAGTAAAGTGGATCGGAGGGCACTTGGGATCCTCTTCCCCATCAAAACTCGATTCCAAACCATCCTGCCGCATGGCAGTGTACACACCCTCTGAATCCGAGTCGGTCACGTACCACATATCCATCCTCACAGTGTCACTAAAGAGTCTTCGTGCAGTCCCTGTCCTGTTACCCCAAGCTTTCGGTTGCGGGATAGGTGAGGGATTTGTCCCCTTGTCCGCCGACGGCAGCTCCATCAGAATCTCATCCTCGCTGACTTCCGTCTCCAGGGAGCTCAATGATTGCTTCGCTCGCTTCTTCGACTTTTGGGACTCTTAGTCATTCTTCGGATTTGGCGACGAAGACGCTAACGGAGGTCGTCGCTGTCCCCTCATAGTCTCTGTGGTCATGTTGGTATCAAGGGTCTCCCCCGCCAACGGCAAGCCTGCCGCCGGCATGGGTAGCTGCGTAAACCCTAGCTCATTTGCCGTTACTTAGGCTCGTTTGCTTGTTGGGTTTGAAAATGAGGGTTTTGGGTGTTAAAAACCTTTGGATTTATGATGGATTTGTTGCATTATGGATTTGGAAGAGTACATTGTTTGTTTAACTAATCTTTATGATGGATTTGTCTCATAATTTTGCATTTCATTATCAAATTCCAAATGAAATGTGGGATATACAAATGCGTGGGATCCACGGATTTGGATCTAAAAAAATGGTCCAAATCCGTGGGCCCCACGGATTTGTGTCCCTAGACTAACATCAACCCATAAAGTCAAATTTGGCTCCCCTAATAGTCAAATATGACTTTTTAGCTCTCCAAACCTCATTTTCACTCCAACCTTACAAAAAACTAAATTTAGCTTCCCAATTCTTTTTTTTTTCAATTTACTTCAATAAACCATTCTTATTTGGCCTCTAATTTTTATATTTCTCTTTATTTTTTATAGTTATTTATTACTTTTGAAAACAAAATTTTCGATGTAATTTTTTTTAATTCCGTGACAAAAAAAGTTTCAGAAAATTAATTGTTAATTTGTTACCGTTAATTTTGAGACCAATGAGACAATACTAATTAAGCAAACGACATACACAATCAACCAATGTCAAAATACCACACAAAAAAGCAAAAAGAAAAATAAACACAATCAACCAATGAAAAAATCCCACAAAAAAAGCAAAAATTAAAAAATAAAGAAGGACCCACCGTGGTCCACCATTTTCTACAGCAAAATTTGGCTTTTCCACTAATTGGAAGCTAAATTTGGCTCCCAGTTCTCCAATACCCATTTTTAGCTCCCAAAATGATGTGGGTTGAAGCACCAACAAAGAGCTAAAAATTGGTAAATGACTTTTTAGCTCTAGGGTTGGAGCTAGTCTTAGCAAACAATGGATTTGTTCCAAGTCCTTGATGCTTGGGATTTGGTTGCCAAATCCATCACTCAAATCCCACAAGCAAACGATACTTTAGTATTTCGCCACTCCTAAAATTCCGGAGCTCTTTTTACAAACGAGACATTTCTTCAAAAAAAAATTTACCATATTTTTCACAAAGATCCAAATTTTGTTATCGTTGATAAAGGTTGCAGACTTGCAGTTGAGAAGCAAATGAACCGAACCTTTATTATAATTGCTTTGGTAGTTGATTCTTACAAAAATACACATTACCATACAAAAACTTTAAAATTATAATTCACCTTAATTTTCAAAGATAATTCTTATTTATATATAAAAAACATCTTACAAATTTCATTTACCAACCTTATTCTTTAAATCAACAATCTATTCCTCAATTTATAATCGACTATCATTTCCATCTCATCCATTTGGCGAAAGAAAAGAAAAGAAAACATGACAGCAAAAGGAGACTGAAAGGGAGCGAATTAATCACGACTTTTTGCGATGGGATTAGTGAGCTACAAAGACTGTGGGTGAGGACGAGGAATGATATGTTTAACGAAAAGTGAAATGAAATCCCACCGACAGAAGAGGGTCCGATAATTATACCCACTTGTTGGATTGGATGTGAAGCTGGAGATTTCAGCCGACTACCGACGAAATGGACGTCACCCTCCTCCTCCGAGCAACAGTTAAGTCCTATTAACACTCCGTCGCCATTGTTAAAATAATCACCGAATATCTTCTTTTTTCTCTATCTTTTTTATTTTTTTTGGGTTGTTGACAGACACGGAAATAAACGTTAACGACCTGGACCTTCTTCCCTCAGACCCTCACCTCCCCTTTCCATCCTGTTAATTATATCACTCTCACTCTCGCCTCTCCCACGCATATAGAAAATCCCATCCTCAACCTCTGAGATCTAATCTCACACCCACACTCTCCCTCGCTCTCTCTCACACAATAGAGCGCCTGACCCAGATCTCCTCTGGGCTGCTCTTTCTCTCCACGCGTTTTCTCGTTGCTGATCCATTCCTTAATTCCCAGTAAGCTCTAAGCTTTCCTTCTTGTTTTAGCCGCCTATTGCTTTATTTGATTGGAATCCGGGGTAGACTCGTGTGTCGCGGATCTGATTTGAGAAATTCCCATCTGGGTTTGGTTCTAATCATGGGTTGGATTCGCTTTCATATTTAAGGATGTAGGAATTGGGATTGATGGTGGTGTCAATGCGAGTATGGTTAATGAGCTTTCTTCTGGTTCAGATCTAAAGACGCTTTACTTCGTCTTTGATTGGCTATTAAAGATGTCATTGTCCTTTCTTCGTGTGTGTGAAGTTCTTGATTGCCAGCCACCCCTGGGTTTTAATCAATTCCCCTGTGAACAACATGTTTGCCATTTTTTGGTGTTCTTATTCCTGAATTGGCTGGATCAGTGTTTTAATTAATTGCTTGCTCTGTCTGTGTGTTAATTTTCCTGTATCGAATTGGGGTAATTAAGTTTTGTGCGCAGTAAGTCTCCCTTCATTGCTTATCGACCGCCCAATGCTTCATTGGTTTTGTGATGAGAGATCGGATCTCAGTCTTGGGGTACAAGTTGTACTTTTGTGTTGATACTTAGCCGTCATACTTATGCTATTAATTTAATTAATGTTCTGCTAGACGGCTAAGTTGGAAGCTTTCATTTGTTTATTATGAGCTCTATAGTTGACATAAGTCTGCAAATGTTTCTTCCTTCCTTCACTTGGCTTCTTTGCTTTTTTCCTTTTGAGTGCGATCAGCTTCCTTAATGTTTACAATTCTGTTTTTTTGGGTATTTCTTTATCACAGGTGTTGCTGCAGGGTCTGCTAGATATAAGTTTACCCAGTTTATTGGGATGCTGATTTGAACATAAAAGCTTCAGACCTGTAAGATCTGCATTATGATCTGAGTGATCTAACTAATAGTCAACAGAGTCAGCTAGTTTGAAGATCTCAATAAGTAGGTAAAACAATGAGAGGAAGACCGGATGGTGCACAGAAGAAGCGTTTGATAACGTCTGTCTGTGTTGTAGCTGTCTTCCTTGGATTTATATACTTCTACTACGGATCCGTATTTGGTTCTCAAGGCCGTGGGGCATCTGCTCTAGAATATGGAAGCAAATCCTTGCGGAAACTGGGCTCGTCTTATCTTGGCGGGGATGATGAGTCGGACAAAGAGGATGGAACGAAATTTGGCCTGGAAGAAGGAGAGGATGATAGTGTCCCGAAAAGCTTCCCGGTAAGGGCTTCTACTGCTAATTAAAGTTTTGGCATTTGCACTTTCTTGCTGGCTTTGTCTTCAGATCATTTACTTTTTATTTATAGTTCTTGCTGTTGGCATCTTACTTCTTGTAGCATATGTCTCTCATTCAACTTATGCTGGCTTTTGAAGGTTTGTGATGACCGGCATTCAGAACTGATTCCATGCTTAGACAGAAATCTTATATATCAGATGAGACTGAAGCTGGACTTGTCTGTAATGGAGCATTATGAGCGTCATTGCCCTCCTGCTGAAAGGAGGTTCAATTGCTTGATTCCTCCTCCACCAGGGTACAAGGTGAGAACTGCTTAAGCCTTGAAGTCTAAAAGTTTCTAGATATATTTAATCTGTTGTGAATGTCTTTCAACTTCAGATGTAGAAAATTAAAGCTTTATCATTACTCATTATACCTGGCAATGCTGCAGATCCCCATCAAGTGGCCAAAAAGTAGGGATGAAGTGTGGAAAGCGAACATTCCTCATACCCATCTTGCACATGAAAAGTCTGATCAGAACTGGATGGTTGTAAAAGGTGATAAGATAGTATTTCCTGGCGGAGGTACTCATTTCCACTATGGAGCTGACAAGTATATTGCTTCTATTGCAAATGTAAGATTGCTGATTCTTGCTTATTCCTTAAACCCTGAGCAAATATTCTAATGCATTTTGCTTAATGTATCCTACACAATTGGTCTGCATTTCTGGATTGTTTATGTTCTTTTTGTTCCACATGTTTTCTGATGATCGTCATTCATCCTTTTAACACTTACACTTCTGTTTTTCAATTTGGCAGATGTTAAACTTCTCCAATAATGTTCTGAATAATGATGGAAATGTAAGAACTGTTCTGGATGTTGGCTGCGGAGTTGCCAGTTTTGGGGGTTACCTTTTATCATCCGATATGATCACGATGTCCTTGGCTCCAAATGATGTTCATCAAAATCAAATACAGTTCGCCCTAGAGAGAGGTATTCCTGCCTATCTGGGTGTTCTTGGGACCAAGCGGCTCCCTTATCCGAGCCGATCTTTCGAGTTCTCCCATTGTTCCCGTTGTAGAATAGATTGGCTTCAGAGGGATGGTATTCTTCTTCTTGAGCTCGATCGGGTACTCAGACCAGGAGGTTATTTTGCATATTCATCACCTGAGGCGTACGCACAAGATGAAGAAGATCTAAGAATATGGAAAGAAATGAGTGCCCTTGTCGAAAGAATGTGCTGGAGAATAGCTGCAAAGAGAAACCAAACGGTTATTTGGCAGAAACCTCTAACAAATGACTGTTACATGCAAAGAGAACCTGGTACCCAACCTCCTCTCTGTCGTTCTGATGATGACCCTGATGCAGTTTGGGGCGTGCAAATGGAAGCTTGCATTTCACCTTATTCTGAGCGTGAGTTCCTTTCCTACCCATGCTATCTTCCCTTGTGCATTGGCTGAGATCTTTAACATAGTCTTTCTGTAGCATTAAGCTAACCTTGGGATTATATTATTATCCATCAGACGACCACAGAGTTAAGGGCAGCGGACTAGCTCCTTGGCCAGCTAGATTGACTAGCCCTCCGCCAAGACTTGCTGATTTTGGATATTCGAATGATATGTTTGAAAAGGACGTGGTACGTACCTGAAGCATCCATCTTAGAAATGTTACAGTTTGTTTTCCCCTCAACTAATAGGCTTGAGTATGACAACAAGCTATCATTAATCATGAGTAATGTTTTGTAGGAACTCTGGAGGAAGAGGGTGGATAACTACTTGAATATCTTGAGCCCAAAGATCCAGTCAGATACCATAAGGAATGTGATGGACATGAAAGCAAACTTGGGGTCTTTTGCTGCTGCACTTCTTAAGAACAAGGACGTATGGGTTATGAACGTTGTCCCAGAAGATGGACCAAATACATTGAAGGTGGTATATGACAGGGGGCTGATAGGCACTATCCACAGCTGGTACGTAACAATCGACTTTAATTTCAGGGGGCATTCTCTTTTTTAACTACGCTTCTAATTTCCTTTATTATAAGGTCTTCGGGTTGGGTGTATTGGCGAGGGTCATATATACAATTGAACAATTACGTTGGTTTCCTTTGACACTTTAGATATATTTTTCAGCATTGAAATTAAATAGCATGCAATTGAGATAAGTAACATTTATTTACAAATGCATCGAATCACGAACATTTAGTCCATAGGGATCGTGTGATTTGTACAAATACCGCCCACTGAATATCTTCCAACATGGCCGTTTGACAGGTGCGAAGCCTTCTCGACATATCCTCGGACATACGATTTGCTTCATGCTTGGACCGTGTTCTCTGACATTGAGAAGAAGGGATGCAGTGTGGAAGATCTTCTGTTGGAGATGGATCGTGTGATAAGGCCCAGTGGTTTCATTATCATACGCGACAGGCAATCGGTGATTGATTACGTGAAGAAGTATATGGTGGCGTTGCACTGGGAAGCAGTAGACTCCTCCAGCACTGAACAGGACCAGGATGGTGAAGAGGTTGTCTTCATCGTCCAAAAGAAGCTGTGGCTGACTAGTGAGAGCCTTAGAGACACAGAGTAGTAGGGGGAGGGGCAAGCCCCTTCTCAGTAACTCCAACACTTAAAATATTTTTCGAGCAGAAGGCTCCAGCGCATGGGGTGGAAGTGAAGAAGTAAGTAAGAAGGCGATAGTGCTGTGAGTAGCAAAGACAGGTTTTACATTTTGTAGCAGGAAATGAAGTTCCACCCACCATATCCCTCTTTTTATGGTTTTTGTTCTTTTGGTCCTTGTAATGATTCTTCAATTTGATAGCATGGAACTATAAGTCGATAGGGGCACTATTCTTCAGATTGGTCTTTTTTTGCTGTTTGCGTTAATGAAAGCAAGAATAGTTACTGGAAACCTTTATTACTTGAAGTAGGCATGACTCATGAGTGATGATGAAGTTAGTACAGTAATGAGTAATGACCCAAATGACGGTGTAGGGTTTTCTTACACTCTCGTTCGTCGCCAGCTCATTCCCATCTGGTGCTAGTGAAGGCTAATAATGGTCCCTTTGCATTGCAGATGTATGTAGTTGTGTGGGAATGGTAATTGTCAAAACATCACTGTGGTGTGGATAGTGATGGCAACCTGACTTGGTGCGACTCGATTTGTCTCGATTGTCGATATGTTTGGAACTAGTATTATTCGATCTGCAATAGTGTGGGTGAGATATGAGTATTTCAGTGACTATTTCGGAACTAGTATATATATGGTGGCTATTTCGGTGCACTTACAAAAATGAGTGTGTTCAATGCATCCAACTCAAAAGTTAGTTTTAAAGTGTCGGATTTTGAATTTTAATTTGTAGAATTAGTGTAATATGATGGTATAACATATGATAACAACTAATTAGCGGATTACCCTAAGCCCTAGACCTCCAATTTTGAGTTCTATCCCTAAACCCCAAATTGTAAACCCTAACCCTACATCTCTAAACTCTAAATCCTTCAAATTAAAGTAAATCTTTAATGGTTTTTGTGCAAATTCATGTGCGTTATTGTTTATCACATCATAAGTGATGATTGATATCATTTTGACATAAATCACATGTTTAAAATGACGGTTATGAAGCGAGTGCACTGAATGCACCCAAAAAAGTCAGTGCACCGAATACGCCACCATATATATCTTAAAATATATTAAAAGGCTTTCAGAAATAAGCCCCGTCCACGTAAGCCTTGGAGGCTTCACCGTTAATTTCGGCATTTGTCATTTTTTTTATTATTTTTTTAACTTTCCACGGCTGCTGCGTCGGTTAGTTTGGGAAAATTTAGCCTTTTTAATTATTATTTTTAACTTCTAGAGGCGGTTGCGTCCCAACTCCTTTTCAAAACTCTTTTTTTTTTTAACAAAAGATAATCTTATATTGATTCCAAGAAAATATCATTACATCCTGGATAACAGCCAGGCCTGAAAATTAAAAGCACGACTCATAGTCGGGTACAAGGAGAGGGCTTTCCGAACCACCAAATGGGCTACCCTATTGTTACTCCGACCTACGAAACGAACACTGAAACCAGGGTTACTGTCAAAAAAGATTCACCACTTCCTCCAATACAGCATCCATCCTGCTATCTCTTGAATCCCCATTCCTGATTTTGTCAATGACCACTTTTGCATCCCCTTCAAACCTAACAGAGGCGAAGCCTTGTCCCAAACACCAGAGAATAGCCTCCCGCAGGGCAATCGGCTCCACTATCGCAGGATCATTTATAACAGGAAATTGGACCCCACTGGCCATTAGGACGACTCTAGAAGGGGTCATAAGAACCATTCCACCTGCCGAGTGTGATTCTCGCCTCGTGGCACCATCCCATCCACAGATCACCTCAAACGACCCTACCAGCATAGGCTCTTGGGCCCCTACCCCGGGTTCCGGGGAGTGTCCTCTACTGGGAGACGCGCCCATTCCTCAATCTGCTGCGTATATTGCCGTATAAGAGCCGGAAGACCAAACTGCTTGCCGTCGAACACCACCCAGTTACGGGATTTCCAAATTCGCCAGAGAAACGCAACAATGGCTAACCACATCGACGACTGATGCACTAACGACATCAGCTTTTTAAGGAACAGAGGAAAGGTGTGTCGTGGCAAACCCTCTCCAAGGTGTTCCAACCCCGCCGCCCCCCACAGGGCACGCGCAACCGGACAATCTAAAAATAAATGCTCCAAGGTTTCAGGGTCTCCCCAACAGACCGGGCACCGAGGCAGAATCGGGATATGACGACTAATGAGAGCTTCAGTGGTAGGCAAGATCCGATTAAAGATCTGCCAAGAAAACACCTTCAACTTAGGCGGGATGTTGGCCTCCCACAGCCGTATCCAACTGGTCCTATCCATCCAATTCACTGACGCCTTCCAACGGCCCCTCCTTTTCTCCAAAGAAACAGCCAGGTGGTAAGCCGATTTGACCGAGAACTCCCCATCCGCTGTATCATGCCAAATGAGCTTATCTTCCACATTATCCCGCGGGAGAGGGATGGCTTGTATGATACGACACGTCCCAGGGTCAAACCATTGATTAAGCTTTTGACTACACCAACGTCCCTCCCCTGGACAAATTAACTCCGCCACCAGTGGGTCACCACCATCCGGCAAAACCTGAGGATTATACCGTAGGGGTTCAAACTGAAATTCAGGGACCCAGGTAGAATGGAGCATAGAAGCCGAACGCCCATTCCCAACCTGCCATCGTATACCCATCTCTAAAAGCTGGCGTCCAAACAGGATACTCTGCCAACCCCACGATGGCCTAGATCGAGCTTTAGCAGTTAGGAAATGTCCATTAGGGAAATATTTACCCCGGTAGACTTGGGCCAGCAGGGAGTTAGGTTCGCTGAGGATACGCCAACCAATTTTAGCCAAGAGTGCCTGATTAAACTTCTCAAACCGACGGAACCCCATCCCTCCATCATGCTTACTTCTGCACATGTCCCGCCAAGACATCCACCGCACCTTCGGGTGACCTTCATTCTCTCCCCACCAAAACCGGGCAACATGCCTGTCTAACAGGCGGCACAAGGACAAAGGGAGCTTGAAACAGGACATCACATGCAATGGCAATGCCAGAGCAATAGACTTGATAAGAGTTTCTTTGGCTGCCCACGAGAGCATCCTCTGTTTCCAACCCTGAAGCCGTTCCAACAATTTAGTTTCCAGATAACGAAAAGTATCCATTTTAGATCTGGCAATCAAGGATGGGAGACCCAGATATTTATCATGGACTCCAACAGCCCCCACCCCCAGAACTGCCGCCAAGAAATCTTGGTCTTCTTGCACAATATTCCTACTGAAACAAACCGCCAATTTGGCAAGATTCACCCTCTGGCCGCTCAATTCCTCATAATGGTTGAGGACCTCAATAAGGTTTTCGCATTCCTGAAGAGTGCCCCTCAGGAATAAGTAGGAATCATCGGCAAAAAATAAATGCGAAAGTCTGGGGGCCCGTGGAGCCACTTTAATCCCGACCAATCTCTTTTCTGAAATTGCCTTCCTGAGAAGCGCCGCAAACCCCTCGGTGCACAGCACGAAAAGGAGAGGCGACAAAGGATCCCCTTGACGCAATCCTCTGGAAGACGAAAAGTAACCAAACGGAGTGCCATTCATCATAACTGAAAAGGATGCAGAACTGAGGCATTCCTTGATCCATCCTATCCAAATAGGGCTAAACCCCAATTTTCCCAAAACCGCAAGAAGACAAGGCCATTCGACTCTATCATAGGCCTTTTTCATGTCAACCTTTAGGGCCATGAACCCTTTCTTCCCCCGAGTTTTGGTCTTCAAGTAATGCATGAGCTCATGCCCCAGTAGGATATTGTCCACAATTTGACGCTCCTTGATAAAGCCATTCTGCCCTTCCGAGACCACATGGGGGAGGACAATGGCCAATCGCTGTGCCAAAATTTTGGTTATGATTTTGTAAACAAATTGGCATAAACTGATTGGGCGCAATTGCCTCATTGTCTCCACATTATCAACTTTAGGAATTAACGTGAGCCACGTGTGATTGAAACTGCGTAGCATCCTGCCCGAAGTAAAGAATGAGCAGACCGCATCAATTACTGATGGCCCCATAATGTCCCAGAAGGCCTTAAAAAATTTGCCAGTAAAGCCGTCTTCTGGGAGCACGACAGCCGTTAAAGCCTCATTCATTGTTGAGGTTACACTTTGGGCAATAGACAGATCATGTAGCCTGCTATGCATGTCTGGGATCTGATTTTCGGATGTGAAAAGGTCATTATAGAAATTAGTAGCAATATCCGCTTTCCCTTTCTCATCTGTGATCCACTCGCCACCCTCAGCCCGAAGCCCACTCACAAATTTCCTTTTCCGGCGGGTCCGCGTCACCGTATGGAAATACGAGGAATTTTTGTCCCCCCTTTTTAGCCAACGGACCCTGGACTTCTGTTGCCAGTACGCCTCCTCCGCCTCCCATTGTCTATTCAACTCAATCTCCAGGCCACGAACCTCATCCCAATTAATGGGATGAATTTGCTTGACTCTATCTATTTCAGCCTGTAGAGTCTTTATGTTTCGCAAAGAATTTGTTGTTCCTGCTCTACTCCAGTCATATAACAAGTGACGAAGTTTCTTGAGTCGTTCCCATAACCTGAACATTGGGGTTCCTTGAACCTCTTCTTGCCAGACATAAGTCACCATGGCTCTCACTTCCGGATTATCCGCCCAACGAGCATCAAACCTGAAGAGACGCCGACTAGCACGGACATAAGGCTTATCTGATAGAAGAAGCGTCCGATGATCTGATCCTTGATCCGTAAAGTGCTTCACAAGGGTATCAGGGTAACGATCCAACCAGGACAGGGAACTAGAGCTGTCAAAATGTAACCCGGCCCGAGTAACCCGCCCGATCAACCCGACCCGCAACCCGCCCGCAACCCGCCCGCAACCCGATTTGACTAAAAGTCAATGACCCGTAACCCGCCCGACCCGCAACCCGTCCAACCCGCAACCCGACCAACCCGCAACCCGCCCAACCCGCAACCCGATCAACCCGCAACCCGATTAACCCACAACCCGACCAACCCGCAACCCGCCCAACCCGCAACCCGATCAACCCGCAACCCGATTAACCCACAACCCGACTAACCCGAACCCGTAACCCGACCAACCCGCAGCCCGACTATAATAGAAGGAATTCGATGAAGATAAACTATAAGTTGACATTTGAAATCCTAGTTCACTAAAGTCTGATCATTACATCATTAATTATTAACTTAGTATAATAATATATATCATCAACCTATTAGCGCATATAACATCATCAAATATTGATTTAGATACATCATCAACCTAATAGTCCACATAACATTATAAAATATTACTTTAACATAATAAGATAATTATAAGATTTAAAATCCAAATATCATGGTCCAATCATAAAAAAGGACTAATAATAATTCACAAAAGTCTGATCATAAACAAGAATACATGACTCATAATAGTTCATATTGTCTCAAGACCTCAAATATCAATAAAACAAGTCCAAAAAACAAATTGACATTCCAAATGACGATCACTCT